GGGTTTTTTTTCAGCACAAAAAATGTGCCGAAATACCCGGCTTATACTCGAGTATTTTACGGTAAGTGGATCTAAAAAGGTCCCAATAAAAAATTGAATTGCCAAAATCAGACAGGACATAGGCATTGTTTTCCCCCTCCATACCACTTTCTGCCTTAGTTTTTCCAACCCATAGGGTTTGGCCAACATATTGCAAATTAGGTTTCATCTACTTACAGTTACGAGAGAAAGCCCAACAAACCTTAACGATTAAGGGGAAAAAAAAACATTTTTAAATATAGGGGCTCCAATGAATAACAGTGAGTTGTGATGTTGTTTAAAACTGATTTAAGATGTTTAAGACACTAGGAAATTTGAAAGGAAAAAAAAATCTTAAGCTTGTCTGAATTGAAGAGTTAACCCAACTTGACATTGTTATTTAGTGTATAACTATCTTAATGTTTACCTATTTGAGAATGACAAACGAGAGCACCCCTATGAAAATTTAAAACCTTGCTATAAATTTATCAAATCAGAAACTCCATTAGCAGTAACTGCTGGTAAAAGCCATCTAAATATTAACTGGCATTCGTAATTATCATCAAAGGCACATGTCACAGTAACTGTTTTTATTTATGTCACATGTAATTATCATAGCTTCTAACAAAGGTCTAACTTTCATTTGGATAAAGAATTTATACTGCAAGTATAATTCCGCCAGATGACTTTAACTGCCCTATATCAACTTTACATCAACAATTGCAATGCCTTGAAGGGTCTACACTCCTAGTTGTGGGTAACATAAATATTCTGACCTGACAGCTTCAACAATATTAACTGTTATTAGATCACTGTGCAAAAATATAATCTTTCCTGTTTAGAAATCGGTGGTAATACCCCCATGCTGAATGCAAGAGTGCAATATTGGGTATCTGTTTTAAAAAAAAAGGAATGTATGGACCTAGAAAGAGTGCAGAGGTGGGCTTGAAAATTATTTAGGGGAGTGGAAGATTTTAATTATGAAAAAAAAGGCTGTAAAAAGTGATTTTGTTTACTTTAGAAAAAAGTGCCTTAGGGGATATAAGATATGTACAAAGCCAATACAAACAGTTCTATGGCAATATGCTTATTAATTAAATCATCTAATGTGCATGTGGACAGCCATTTATGCTTGAAGAAAGATTTCGTCAGGTACAGGAATTGGCTCTTTGTGGTATGAGCAATAAAGGTGTGGGATTCTCTGCCTTCTCTGGTTGTTTTATTAGAATCTGTATAAAATATTTAAACAAAATCAGGATGTTTGTTTAGGAAAATAGAATATTCAAGGGTCTAATAACTGAAATGAGGGGTAACACCATGTTGGCAGGAGAAATCGCACTCCTATTTGGAGCCAAGAAGTATTTCTTTCCAAAACTATAGCAAAATTGTTTCAAACTAGGTTTTTATTTTCTTTTGGATCAAAAGCAGAAATGCAGATACAGTATATGAAAGGCTGAATTTGACAGATTTTAACTTGTATTACTATGCTATTTAGAAAATGCAACATAGGGGTTAATGACACTAACAATTTAGCCACAGAGCTGCAGAGTCATGTCCTTAAGACGCAAGGTCAAATCACCCACCAGAGAAGGCTAATATGGCATGATGTATTGTATGTATAATGTGACTTCAAGAAAGACGGAACACCTCTTATAATTTTAAGGACATAGAGGGTACCCAGAGTAATAACAACATAGTACTAATTTCTCTCCTAAGGAATTCTTTATAGTGGCATTTCCTTGGGAGTCTCCAATGGCTCGGAATCAATGCTCAAACACAGAGAGTAGGTTCAGGGAAGGTCCGTAGGATATTAATAATATGATATTGTCTACTCTCAGAAAAGTTCTGCAAATGCCCATGCCTTCCGCACTAAATCAATCTAAAAGATTAAGTTTCAGATCTGAGAAGATAAAATGTAGATACATGGAGGTTAAACAGACATAAATCTGACCTTGTACTAATCTTACCTTAGAGATTCATAGCTCATCTGCAATTCTGGTTCAGTCAGTTGGAAGATTTCAGAAACAAAGTGTTGGACTTTGCGATTAGAAATAAATTAAGCTGTATAATATAGAGAATCTAATGTTTCATTTTCATGCACTAATGCACCAAATGACAGAAACTTTTTTAAATTACATAGAGCTCGTGCTGCTCGGTGACCTACTTTTGATTAAAAGTAACCAAAGTATGCCCTCGATGACCAAGACGATGTAGAGAAAAATCAGACTTTTGAAAGTGAGTAGACCACTGTTTGCAGTGCTACAAGTGAGGGGGCTACTGACTGAGTCGTGGTACATGCCTATCAGTGTATGGAAGGGCAAAATATTGTATTGCTTTACTAGCAACTTATAACATAATGACCAGGATGACCAGAATGACAAAAATGTTGTCTTTGAAATACAACTGAATTTATTGCAGCACTGTTTTTATTGGCACACTTGGGATACATACTGTGACTGTATCTGTCATCATTCTTAGACAAACTTTGCTTTGCTGTGAATGATCGTAGCTGCAATCCAAAGGTTGAGGGGTGTGCAGTTAAAATTAGACTACAGATTATGTGAGGTAGGGCTTCATATTAAAGGGAAACAATAGTCACCAGAACCATTACAGCTTAATGCCGTGGTCCTGTGTCTATAGAATTTGTCTGTAGGCTTTTCAGTGTAAATGCTACCTTTTCAGAGCAACAGCAGTCAGTCAGATGGCCACTAGAGGTGCTTCCTATTTCAGTGCTGCACTATGTGCAGCACCTATATTAAAGGGACATTATAGGTGCCATAGGGTGCATATTCCCAGGCCCCTTAATCCTGCAAAGGTCATTATTGCAGTTTTTAATAAACAGCTATAATTATCTTTCTGGTTTAATTCCGCCTCTAGTGGCTGACAACAGGGCGAGACCAGTACGACAATGGAAAAAAGGTCATTTTGAAACCTTTTATCTTAAATCTGAAGGTGCCTGGGCCTAAACATTTGCTGCAAAATTATAGTGTTAGGAATACATGTTTGTATTCCTAACACTATAGAGTTCCTTTAAATTTAGGTAATGGATGACTTAGGCAAAGTCAGGGGATTTTGGAGTTAGGGTTAGATATTGAGCTTGGCATTGTAGTGTTTAGGGTAAGTGTAGGACTTTAGGAGTTAGGGTTCGATATTATACTTGGCATTATGGGGTTTAGAGGAAGGGTAGCATTTTAGGAGTGATGGTTATATATTGGGCTTAGCATTATGGGGTTTAGGGTATAGATAGGGTTTATATTAGTTAGGGCTAGATATATATAGTTAAGCTAGGGCTTATTATTATTATTATTAGTATTTTATTATTTATATAGCGCCAACAAATTCCATAGCGCTGTACAATGGGTGGACTAACAGACACATAATTGAGATCAGACCACTGGACGTACAGGAACAGAGAGGGTTGAGGGCCCTGCTCGACGAGCTTACATGCTTATAGATGTAATACATTTTTTTGTGCTTAACGTTATGTGGCTGCAATTTCCATAATTCTTACTCAGACACATGGATGTATAGAATAGGCAACTGATTTTGGTAGGAAGGCAATGGATAAATGTGACTGTGTGGACCCAGTATGATTGTATATATGAGTGAAATGGGCAAATATGGAGGTACAGTGTGGGCTACTTCTGCAACATTTAATCCAAGAACCAACCCTTTAGTAAAACGAAGAGGACGAACTTTGAGCCTTTGCACCATTAAACATAACTGGCCTATTTGCCACTAGCACAATTTTAGTTATATGAATAACAAGGACACTATTAACAAAATAACCTTCACCAACTGATGCAACAGAATGCATTCATCATTCCTCTGAATGTGATAAATTTTAAGAAAATGTTCACATTTCTTTGAGCCTGACGTTATTTTTGTAATCATCATCATCCTTTGCAGAATTGCTCTAAAACAGTAAGCACACCTGGGAACCATTGCCTCTTCCGTATTTTTGAGCACTAAAATGGGGCAGAGCTGTATGTAGGTGGGATTATCAATACAGGGAGCAATGGTAATCTGTAAAGATTTGTGGAGTGGGCTGATCAGGTCAGTAGCGGGTAGAATATAGATCCAGTAATTTGTCCCAGAGGTCTAGTGGTTCCAGACCCAATCTGAAGAGATCGTAGGTGTGACCATAACATTCTGTTTTTTCCAACACCACAAGGCATTACCTCGAAAACGCAACTAAACTGAAAACGGCACATCATGTGTCACAATACGGCTGTTATAAAATGTTCTGAAAGTAATTAATCATTGAAGAGGAAGTTGGACGTGTTAGATATTTGCTGTGATATTACGAAAGCTGCCAGCAGATTCGATACATTTAGAACTATAAATTGCAGTTGGATGCGCTGACACAGGACATAATAAATTACGAACAATTACTTTCATTAGCGCAATTCTGGCAGAGGCCTTTACAAGCTATTTTTGCTGCGTCCAATAAAATTTATTTTCTGCACAGTATATGCTGGATTAAAATTGACCACGTTAGCACTTTACTTTTGGACCAAAAAAAAAAAAAAAGAAGCTAAAATAAACAATTCATTTTTATGGTAGAAAATCGGAAATATGGTATGGATGGTAGAAAATAAATATGATACCAGTTGTCCGAGATGTTGGTAACATTTTGGAAAAATGGATTGTAGCCTTTGTCCATGGCAGATCATAAATACAGGAGAAGAAAAATAAACTAAAGAAAATGACTAAAATGACCACTGTTGCTGCAACATATATTTATTTGTAAATCCCCAAATACTGACTTCCAACAGGGTAACGCAATGATGCATCCTCTGTAATGTGTTATTTATTTGTGATATTGCAGCGTAGATAAATCAGTGCAAGTTGAGACATAACGTAACAATGAGAAGCTGTTTGCTGGAGTCAGAAGAGAATTGATGTTCCAGGCCTCTATTCTCCACTGTGAGGGAAGATAAATTAGCAGAGGTTAAATTTTCTTCCATATTCAGTGATAAAGAATAAACAAGCGGCTGTATATTATCAAAACAAAGGTCCGACTCCCCCAAAATAAATTCTAGAAATAGTGATTTAATGAAAAAACTGAAGATGAAATGTTTAAAGATAAAACGTGAACCACTAAATAGCATTTTTTTTTAATGGAAAAATAGCAAGGAATCGGGTAATAACTTATTATCCTTTTATTAACAATATGTATAGAAAACATATTCGGTGCTATTATTGTATAACTCATGAGAGATGGATAAAATGCAATGTGAGAAGCACATTAAATGTGAAAATGCCTAAACTTGTTTCTACAAATTCAAATACCCACGATAACGAACAATTATATCGGCAGCCATCATATTGGAACAAACCTAGTATTGGGGGGATGTACTCCCCTAGTAATGCCAAGATGCCAAGAAGAGGGAATTCCCCAATGATATATGAGGTGTTTTAAATTAACACCCTGTTCTGAAATTTAAAGCCAAAAATAACTCTACATCCACACATGCACACCTACATTCATGCGCACCACATGCATGAACAAACAGGGAAATGCATTCATAAATAGCGCACATGTACATTCATTCACACTGCACACAATTGCAAAGTCTCCAACCATCATCTACAATGCATGCAAACTCTCAAGTTACCTGTTTTTTTTTAGTTGCTTATCAAAACACTGTCAAACTTACTCATTAAATCACTGTCGCTTATTAAAACATCTACGGATTGAGAAATTGGAACAATTTGAAAGCTTGACATAAACTACGGGTGTGAACTGTTATACCTGTGTTTAAACCGTGTTTGAAAAATTTAAATTCAAAAGGAGAAAGGAATTGAAACCATTCTTGGACCCATGAAAGTTCTCTAAGATCAGCAATGGATCCAACATCATCATTCACTAGATGGGACGCAGGGTTCACTTGTAAGATGTAGATAGTGATTTTTAAAAGTATAAAACACTTATTTTGCAATATTTACATTTTAATCATAATGCTACCTTCCCTCCCCCAGAAGATTTTGCATTTAGGCGATTCTAGCTAATATGTATTTAATGCTCCTGTGATGTTCTCCTTTTTGGAGTTGCAGCTGGCCAGTTGAATTGTGCTGGCTACTCTTGAGAAATTCCAGGGCTTTCTGAAGAAACCGTTTAAAAAAAAAAAAATTAATCCACAGCTAATGACTTTTGCAAATTATTAACTTTTTTCCAGTATATTTATTTTAGCCTAAACTTTAAAATACTCTTTAATTTCCCAACCAATCTTACTTTAATGGACAAACCTCTTTAACTTAAATGGCTTGTGCGAGAACAGCATTGTTCTCAGTTAAAGGAGATTCTACACATCTTAGATAGCCATGTGTAGAAAGTGAGGAGATGTGTCCTCAGCTAGCAGGTCTCTAAGATTGTATGGGTGGGTGCCCAACTGGCCCAAAGAAACTGTAAGATTTAGAACCCTGAGTAATATAAGCTGCATATCTTCTGATCACACAACTACATGATATGGGTGATGAAAGGTACTATTAGAAAAATAAAATAACTTTAAAATAGGTTCAGGGGAATTCTAGAGCAGAGAGCGAAAATTGATCGTTTCCAATAAAAGTTTTGAAAAGCTAGAGAGAAATTCTTCAACTAAGCTGGCAGGAGAAATTGTCTCATATACTATGTACTCCTGAGATACATTGACAATCTGCTGCAAATTAATATGCAGATAATTAGCTAAAAGACTGACACAGGTACAAATGTACTATTGAATTAAACATCACCATATGTTCAAATTAAGTAACAGCCCCTAACAACACATGGATATCAGGAATCAACTACGCATCAAATTGTACCATGAAATGAATTCATAAAAGGTTCCTTACAGTCCTGACGATGTCTTTTATAGTGTTCTATAAATGATTCACGCAGGAAATAAGACCATGTGCTCCCGGACCTCATGTAGGAAAATAGATTATATATTTTTCGATTCTATATCTTTTCCTGTAACTTCAGAGATTTCTCCCGGCTCTTTATTTTATGTAAGCCATTCCGTGGGAAGCTAAGATATCATTAATACGCATGTCACACTGTGTACGTTTGAACAAATGGCATGATGGTGACAGCAGTAATTTTCACCTTAAATTGCTACATTTAATAAAACGAGGCACTCATGGTATATTGTATAACAGTTGGAGATTCTCTCAAGCAAAACTATCTGCTGTTAGATATCCAGACATGTAATCATTTCAAATAGGGTTGATGATTATCCAGATTTCTCCGTCTTTTCCTGTTTTTCTTTGCATACCAAGGAAAGTGCTGCTTGCTTACAACTGATCCATGAAAAATGCAAATATGGAAACTATAATCAAGATTTAAAGGAGCAATACCAATTAATGGATATCGAGAGCAACATAATAAAACTGATTGAAAAAATTCATGACTCTCCCCGGAAACCTTTGCCTGAGTGGTTTTTGGATGAACTGATAATGCACGAATGGCTATACTTCAGCTGTAGTGGTTATGGTGTTAAAAGTGCCTCTCTTTGTCAGGATCCTCTGTTATTATTGCTCACACATGTTGACTTGTGCAGACAGACATTAAGTTTTGAAAGGCAGAGAAGTTCTGTCATTCTAAAAATGTGATACTTAGAAACCTTGCTATGACACGGAATGCCCTACTCTTTAGCTTTAACTGGGTTAAAAAGCTGCTGATTTTATCAAAGCAGATCCCTCTATGATGCCACAGTTACGATGAGGGTGTTTTACAATAGTAGAATGCACTGTCATGGTCCTTAAATGAACACTCTAGGTTCCATAACCTTAAAGGGACTCTCCAGTGCCAGGAAAACAGACCGTTTTCCTGGCACTGCAGGTCCCTTCTCCATCCCACCCCCCATCCCAAGATGCTGAAGAGGTTAAAACTTACCTGTATCCAGCGCCGATGTCCCTCGTCATCCGGCGGGGGAGACCCATTGCGCATGCGCGGCAGCCGGCGGGGGAGACCTAATGCGCATGCGCGGCCCATTTGACCTCCCCATAAGAAAGCATTGAAAAATGTTTTCAATGCTTTCCCATGGGGATTTCAGCGACGCTGGAGGTCCTCACATAGTGTGAGGACGTCCAGCGACGCTATAGCACACGTGTGCTATAAACAAGGAAGTGCCCTCTAGTGGTTGTCTATTAGACAGCCAATAGAGGAGGAGTTAACCCTGCAAGGTAAATATTGCAGTTTATGAAAACTGCAATAATTACACTTGCAGGGTTAAGGGTAGTGGAAGTTGGCACCCAGACCAGTCCAAAGGGCAGAAGTGGTCTGGGTGCCTGGAGTGTCCCTAAACTGTTTGTAAAGATTTTAACACCAAAGTTAAGTAGACAGTGCCAATCAGCTCAGCCCTCAAACACTCTCAGTCGATCAGTGGCACCCATTCCTAGGCTTCCCCATTGTAGCCTCGGACATTGCCGTAATAGGAGGAGCCAAGCTGACATTTGCCGTCTACTCTTCTTAGCAGTTAAACCGTAAACGTTTGGTGTCCATAAGCTCCAGGCACTATAACAGCTTGATTGAGATGGTTTAAGAGTTTAAGAGGTTAATGCTTCTAATAACATCATTATAAGCAGTCAATATATGCGGTATGACTGCTGAAAAATCCGCTATAATGTGAGACTGTGCATTGTCATTCAAACAATCCAATACCTCAACAAAGAAAATTAGCATCAGATAGTGAATAGGAAATACTGATGCATAGTCATTCATAACACAGTAATTTGATTTTCAGAAGATTATAGCCCATCAAGTTCTACGTACCAATATACCTGTTATTTAGACTGCCAGTCAGGCTGCAAGGCACATTAGAGGAAGGTCTAACAGTCTGTTTTAAAGTCAGGAATTATGCTTTCTGAATCACTGAAAGAAATATTTTTTTAATAACTTACTTCAAGGGCCAGGCTGAAAGCTTGTTTTAAAAATGGAAGACTTGCTGAACCGACGTCAATGTGTGAACTTTAAACTCCACATTACCCTTTCATTTCTGCCAAGCCTGAATGCAGATAATTAATTTAATTTATTTTCATAACTCGCGTGCTTCAGTTCAGACCATTTAATTCCATTTTGGATAGCCCGTTTTCCTGCTTTTTTCTCTTTCCTACGCAGATTTATCTGAACATAACATCAACCACTACGATCATCATAGCCATAAAAAAACTAAAAAAATAAATAAAAATAAACCTTCACTCCTTTTACACTGGGTCTGCATATATTACATTATATGCAAGCTTCAGTCTCTGCCTGTGAATATTAGTGGAAGGTATTAATGCATGAAATGGTAATTTGAAAATACCACTCGTATTTTACTATTATTTCTAAAATATTTCATTTTAAGTATTTGGAATGTGCTGCTGTCTGAACAAAGACTTTTTTAGTAGCTCAGAGGCTGAACGTATTACTGGTGCTTCAGAGAACAGATGTCGGTTTCTTTTTTATCCTTAGTACACCCTTGTGAAAACTGAAATGTAATTCTCTGCAAAACTTAATTTGTTCTTGGCTTGATCTGATCGAGGGAATAGGTTTGACAAATCTATTCAAAATAGGCAAAGCGTTTCTGATATACCACCAAGACAGTATGCTAGTCTTTAAGACAGTCTTTATATTGTAGCATATAAAACACAATAATATTCACATTTATCTAGCACTTTATATGTGATTAATATACATTTCCTCTCTTTCCCTCCTATACCTATATATCCTTGTTCCATTTGCCCTTCGTTAATATGGACGATTTTGTATGCTCGAAGTGAAACCGAAAGTGACTGGACCCGTCACTGCATTTCCATCCATCTCCACACCATACGATTGCCAGGACGTTTGCCCATAAACAAGATGAAGTTCAGAGACAAGTTACGCTACTGAAACTATGCCGCACCACTTTCGTCTATTTGGGAAGAAAAGAAGAATCAGCTGTCATAAAGAATCGGACGTCCGTGATTGGATGGTAAAAGATAGAATGGGCTAATATGATCACGTCTGGACGATTTAAAAACATCCAGACACAGGAAGTAGATTCAACTGATTGAGAAAGCCACAGAAAACGTTGAAACGCGTCTCAGGAAGATCCAGCACTTTAGACTTATATTAAATATTGTTTTTAAATTTATTTTAAAGTACTATTTGTCTTAATAAATATGTATTTACTTTTCTGCTAATATTGTCTGGTGCTATCTTCAGAATCTACTTCAACTTCAAAGAAAGGGCAGTGTCCCCC